GGTGGGGTGGGGGTGGGGGGGTATGTCACGTTTTGAATCAAGACACTCTTCAAACCGTTGGGTCAAACGTAACCCAGATTGGGTGGTGTAGATAACCAAGCACTGGGTCAAGATTTTGATCCAACAAGTTGTAAAAACTACCCATACTGGTAAGTTATAGCAACCAGTAAATGCGTTACCAAGTTATCAGGAGCTGAGGTTAAAAATAACAGAAATTTTACGATCAACACTATCAAAAGAAGAAGCAGGAACTTTCCCTTGTAAGGGGTCAGTCACCAGAACAAGTCATGCTGTGATATGTTTGGCGGTCTTAACACCAGATATTCTTCCTGACACAACCCATTTTCCATTTAAACCCCAATTCCCTGTGTCCCAAATCAATGATGTTGCCTGCTGAGCCATCCAGCAACCACAAACGCTGTCTAAGAATAGTAACTTTGAAATAAACCAAATGGCAACCAACTTCAATATTTTCAATCCAATGAGCTGGATCAAAATAATGAACCCCACCTTGGGTAAAAGTAACCTAATCTGCTCAAATTTCACAGCTACCCACAAAGTGGGACAAGAAAACCACTCTGCATTTTTTTTAAATTCTGTTTTTATTCCTGGTAACATAATTCACGATAAGACTTACACAGATAAGATGGACAAAAAGTACAAGGGGGGACGGTTTTGAGGTTGCACATCAAACTTACCCAAGCTTGCCTTTATTGACCTTGTTTACTGAGGGTTCGTCACACTGAAAGATGAGTGATCCACCAAATGCTGTTTTCTTGTTTGATCACATGATGGCAGTATGGGACTGCTCAATACCATTGAACGTTGGATGTCACCATTCGCCATGGGGGAGTAATGAGCCGCTCCAGGCACAGGAAAGTACTTGGTTGATGTTGAGGAAGCATTAAGAGAGAGTCCGAAAATCTTTTCATATATTAGCTATCAAATGTAACATTTCAAAATGTCTGTTTGTTACCACTCCTTTTTTTGGGCCCGGCTGTCCCCAGTGGACTCTATACTGGACGCAAGGTCAATGGTCACACACAGCAACGGGAGTCATTTAACATGAATAAAAGTCATGGGAAAAATGAATATATTTACATTTCTGTTTCTGAACCAACTCTGTTCCTATTTCATGATGTATCCTTCATATGTGATGCAATACTCCCATATTTTGGATACTTAGCAGTTTTTAATAGTCAAGTAATTTCAAGTCTTGGTTTGCTCAATTATGAGAGTTATATGTAAATTCCTCTTACAAGGAGATCATAAGAAAACATAAAATGTTTACCAAATTTGATGTGATAAAATTGAAATTATGCAGGGAGGATCCTGTGTAAATTCAACCTGCAGACTCAGAGTCATCAACTGCTTGACTATGGATAGGCGATCAGTAAAATCAATTGGTGTTTGTAAATAATTCCTCAGTATGTCATGTTGAATTTCTTTTCCTGCTTATACTGTAGCTTCTCACCGAGGGCTGTCTTCAATCCCGTCGCAATTCAGTTGTATGTGAACAACAGATTATGTGATTGTGAGGAGAAGATTATTTTTTGAAGCTAAAGTCTCGGGGAAGGTCGCTCTAAATCAAGTTGAAATGTAGAATCAGACTCTAAATACACAATAAGACTGCATTTTATCAGAGTACTTTGAGACGTAAATGTCTTTGAATCTGAGCTGTTTATATATATATATATA